ATCATGCAGACACATACATGTATCCATACAACAATTATATATATATATATATATATATATATATAAAAATATATATAGATATATAAAGTGTGTGTGTGATGTGTGTAAATAGTGTGTGTGTGTGTGTGTGATATTCATATTCATATCAAATCAAATCACACGCGTATATACATATAACCATACAGACACATAAGACAAAATATAATCTATCTATCTATCTATCTATCTATCTATCTATCTATCTATCTATCTATCTATCTATCTATCTATCCATATCTATATCTGTATATGTATGTGTATGTAATGTAACTAACAACTCTAAATTGTATACAAGATACTGTAGAAAATAGGTTAGATTAGACATGATAGACATAATACATAAGATTGATAGATGGACAGACAGACAGGACACATAAATAGAGAGATAGAATAGAATAGTAAAGAATTAATGATAGATAGATAGATAGATAGATAGATAGATAGATAGATAGATAGATAGATAGATAGATAGATAGATAATATAGAGACAGAGATAGATAAAAAAAAACATAATTTGATAGATAGATAGATAGATAGAGATAAATAGAATAGAAAAGTATAGATGGTAGACATAGGGGTAGATGGATGAGTATGATAGATAGATAGATAGATAGAGATAGATAGATAGAAAAGATAGATAGATAGAGATAAATAGAATAGAAAAGTATTGATGGTAGACATAGGGGTTAGATGGATGAGTATGATAGATAGAAGATAGATAGATAGATAGATAGATAGATAGATAGATAGATAGATAGATATGATAGAAATTATATGATTGAAATGATCAGACAGAAAAGATAATAAATAGAGAGAGATAGAATAAAAAAGAAAAAATAGATAAGGAAATAGATAGATAGATAGAAGATAATAGATAGATAGATATAGTATATATGATTGATAGTTATACAGAGATAGATCATATACTGTATATTGTAGCTACATGGATATAGATACTATACTGTGAAATATAGATAGATAGAATAATATAAAATTGATAGATATAGAGATAGATCATATACTGTATATTATAGCTGCATGGATATAGATTCTATACTGTGTAAGATAGTAAAATATATATGATTGAATAGATACAGAGATAGATCATATACTGTATATTATAGCTACATGGATATAGATACTATACTGTGTAAGATAGATAGATAATATATATGATTGTTTAGATATACAGAAAAATAAATCATAACTGTATATTAATAGATAGATAGATAGATAGATAGATAGATAGATATAGATAGATAGATAGATATAGATATAAATACTGTATAAGATAGATATAGATAATATTACTGTATATTATATATAGATTGATAGATACTCATGTATGCTCATTAATGCTGTGCTTCAGCATGTAAAGATATGTAATGTATACCTTTTTAATAAATATACTTTAATCAACCACCCACTATGTGTCTTTTCGATGTCATTTGTTCTTTTTATTTATGGGAAACATTTAAATGGTTAAAGTGGATAAAAACATGTTAAATAAAAAGAGAAACATGCACATAAACAGAAATAAAAGACTGAGCCAAATCTACAGTTGGATGGATCCTTTCAGGTGGCCAGGAGAATGTACTGTGAAATGATTTTGTGTGTTACTCCTCCCATTCAGCTGTCTTCACAACAATTACTAAAGTTTTTAATTAGCCTCTTGTTATAATTCATTTTATTAATTTTCCAAAAATCTCAGTCCATGAATTATTAACAGCGGCTCTGTAATTGTATTTACAACATCCCTTTGTAGTGCACGTGATTAAAAACTGGTGGTCCACAAAAGTTTTTTTTTCCTTTCATTGCCTAAAGTTATATTGTGTTGTACTTTTTTTTATTTGTTTTTGCCTGGCTTGATCAGTAATGATTTTTGTATTTAAAAGTTTGCTACTAAACAACGGTCAGCAGAAAATGACATGTAATTAAAGTTGCAGAATTTATTTTAACAATGAGAACATGAATACCAAAAATAATTATTTCAATAATCTACGCATTGCTAACATTTTAGTAAATATAGGCTTCAGTTTACAGAACATTTTCCTGTTTTTTTTTGTATTCTGCTAAATCATTGCACTTGTTGAATGAGGCCAGAAATAGCTTTAATATGGCACGAGGAGAAAATCAATAGTATCATGGCAGCTACTGTCTATTCTTCGTTGACAAGGGTCTAATGTAAAGTGAAGGACACTGTAGAACCAGCGCTGTGATAGTTCAGACTCCATGCACTCAACAACTAGAAGTAAAAAGCTGCTAGGACAAGCAGAGCCAGGTCATTGGCGACTAATTTTTCAGGGTGCTTGGCAAATAGCCGCAAAGTACCAGTGGATTGTGCTTAGTTTTGATTTTTGTATTTGTATTTTTTTGCACTCTTATTCTTCTAATATTATTGTATATTATAAAGATTTTTTTTCTGTTTTGAATAAGCTGTAAAAAAAAAGCAATGACAAGACATTTTGTACATAATGTAATTCTCTGTAATGATAGATTGCTTTTTACACCAGTTAAGGGTATAGAGTTTCCTATACACAGAAACACAGCATGTAATTCTACTTGGCACAGGAAAATTTGAATAAACCATAATTATATTACATTAAGTGGTTCTAATACCATAATCTCTATATTGTATCAAATTCTCTGTTAGCCTCTGACAGTAGCACATTCCACAGCACTGTCCTTTCATTAATAAAGTCAATGGTCTAGTATAGTTCTTTTATTCTCTCTGATGACTTTACCATAGTCTACAGACTTCTGTGTACTTGTAAGGTTTGTATTTTATCTTGAGTATTTGGCATATTCCTTAAAATCCCTATTCAACATCTCCTTTGATCATTTGGAGCGGTAGGTGGCATCCTATAGCTCCTAATAAAGCGCTAACAAGAAGCCTGTTAGGTCAACGTTTGATTCTGCTAAAATCATCTTTTAGTGCAAAGGAAATTATATCAGCCAAACCATTTGACACCTAATGACAAACTGTAATCATGTCTATAAAATCTGAACGGTAGGATGCTGCTGTTTTATGGCCTGGCTTGGTCTAATTTTATTACAGTGAGCTCAATAGTTATATTAGTCTATATATATATATATATATATATATATATACACACACACATATACACATACATATAAACACATATATAATATAATATATATATGGCATGTGTATATATGTATATGTGTGGTGTGTGTGTATATATATATATAAAACAATTTATTTATATATATATATACACCACACACACACATACATATAAATATATATATATAATATATATATGGCATGTGTATATATGTATATGTGTGGTGTGTGTATGTATTTCTATAGATAGATAGATAGATAGATAGATAGGTAGATAGACACACACGTGTCTATGACACGAGTATGTGCTTACATATCTATCTATACATATACATATTATAAATAAATAAATATAAATATATATATATAATATATATATATATATATATTATATATATATATATATATATCTCACATATCACATCATTTCTATTCGTTGCCCCCACTTCTTTCGATAATTGACCAATCCACAGCCTGTTATGTTTCAATGTTTGCATTTATTTAGAAGTATCTTGTCACCATTGCACATCTTCATATTGCATCTGGCGTACATAAATAGAAATAAAAAATAAAATATTGGGTCGGTGGTGTCAATAAGAATAAAAAAAAAAAAACCTCTGCAAATTTGTATAAACAGGTAGATAAAATGATGAGGCGTCTGGAGGAAATAACTTGTGGTCTCACATTTTTTTTTTCACCATCATGTCAAAATTAAAAATATTTACAACATTTTTGCTCTGCATCACACAAAAATACTGGACATCAACGTGGGTGGAATTTTTTTTTTCTCCTTTTTTTTTTCTTGGGTGAAGACAGCCAAAAAACAGTGAATATCACAGCACACACAAAGTCTACCAGAAACTAGCCTATGTAGTGCCCATATGCATAGAAAGTTTGCTCTGCAAACAAGGAAAGGAAAGTTTTTTGTTTTTTTTAATGATCCCAGTCGGACTGCCAACTCATTCACAGATACCCCAACAGGATGACATTTTTTTTTGACCAATGATGAAAACAAATTATGAGAAGTCTCTGCAGAGCTGAAGATCACAGATGATATTCAGATAGGAGCTTCCTGAAAATACTCTACTGATTGCTAAATGATTGACACTGCCGTAGTGCAAAATGTTTAATGAAGCAGTGATCATAACCCCTGTATTTAATGGCAGAGAACTGGAGGTTTGCTGATAGACAATGACACATGTCATGTAGCAGCCAACAGAAGTGAAGGCTCCATACTCCTGGTGGAGTGTGGGACACAATACTGTTCCATGGACATCTGTATCCAATACAGGAGACTATTGGAAATTGATGAGAGTGTAAAAATAAAAAATACAAAATAAACAATGCTTCCTGATCTATTATCTTGCCCCTCAAGTCACAGCCCCCAGTGACCAGCAACAAGAGACAAAAATGAGAACATTAAGAAACGAATAAAACAGAGCTCGGCTAAAATACTGTCAATTTCACATTATTCTAATTGTAATCATCAGCATCACCAACACTTGAACCCCTAGGGCTTCCATGTGATGACTTCTATACGACTTGTTCTTGCCCAATACAAGTACACTTGCCCTTGATTTTATTGAACTAGTAAAATTCAAGAATAGATCTACAGTTTCACAGAGTTCCAGTCGCCGAATTTCCTCTCTTTATTGTCCATTGGTCCCGGCAATAAAAATACTTTTTTTTTTTATTAATTACTATTCTTATTCTTTTTAAGATTTAATTCTCCGCCTTGATCTCAAGTTTCACTAGAGTCCTCTAGAAGAGAAGAAAGCCCTCCAAATAAATTAAATTCAGAATAAATAAGGAAATAAATACAGAAATTGTTTTTGTTTTCGTTATAGGAGGATTTTTTTGTGTGTTTTTTGTTTTAGTAAGTGGCAGAAAATTTCATTCTTTTCTGCTTTTGTCTTTGATTACAGAACCAGACCCGCACCACGTTCTTTTTGAGGTCCAGTTTCTCTGCTATGGCTGCGATCTTCTCGGAGGAGGGTCGGGGCTGGACAGCGAAATAGGCTTCCAGGGACCTCTTCTCTGGGGCAGCGATTGAAGTCCTCTTGCGTTTCTTTTCCCCCCCATTAAAGAGTTCGGGTTTGTTCATTTTTTCCCTCTGGGCCCCCTCGGCCTCCTCCAGCCAGGCTTGCAGGATGGGTTTGAGAGCGATCATGTTATTGTGGGATAGGGTGAGGGACTCGAACCTGCAGATAGTGCTCTGGCTGAGGGAACCCACCCCGGGGATTTTCAAGTTGGCCAAAGCAGAGCCCACGTCCGCCTGGGTCACCCCCAGCTTGATCCGCCTCTGCTTAAATCGCTCCGCGAACGCCTCCAGCTCCCGCGGATCGGTCTCTGAGTCGCAGATGGAGGCCAGTCCTGCAGCTGCTCCCACCGCTGAGGCTACCTGGCCGGCTCCGTGATGGGCAGCCACCAGCCCCGGGTGCTGCAAGGCAGAGGTCATGTTCATGGCAACCTGGTGGGACAGGTGGCTTAGGCCATGCATGTGGCTGTGCTGATGGGCCGAGGTGGAAATCAAACCCCCTCCGCCGCCACCGCCGCCGCCGCCGCCACCGCCACCCCCTCCGCCTCCTCCGCCACCCCCGACTCCATCGTGCCCGGTGCTGGCCATAAGTGCCAGGGACGGAGAGGTGACATGGTCCAGAAGGTCCCCGGCCTCCAGCGGCTGGTGGTGGTGGTGATGATGGTGGTGGTGGTGATGGGCGAGTGGCACCGTGGAGTTGGACGAGCATGGCACGCTGCTCATGGTATGGTAGGTGGCATCCGGCTTGAACGGGTGGTTCTTGCTCTGGGACACGGCCATATCCACTGCGGCCAGCGCCTCGGCCCGGGCCAGGAGGGTCTCATCCAGGCTGGCGAAGATATTGCTCTGCAGCTGCAATCAGAACACATAGACAGGCTTAGATCACAACCGACTACAAGGTGGATACAACTTCTACAACCAGAACAATCACAGTACAATACATGATTTATTTATAGAAACAAACAAAAATGGGCTCTGGGTTTAAGCATGGACATAAAGAAGAAGCTTTGGTTCGACCAGGACAAGGAGAAGGAGCTCCGGGTCCAACCAGGACAAGGAGAAGGGGTTGTGGGTTCAACTAGGACAAGGAGAATGAGCTTCGGGTCCAACCAGGACAAGGAGTTGTGGGTCCAACCAGGACAAGGAGAAGGGGTTGTGGGTCCAACTAGGACAAGGAGAATGAGCTTCGGGTCCAACCAGGACAAGGAGAAGGGGTTGTGGGTCCAACTAGGACAAGGTGAATAAGCTCCGGGTCCAACCAGGACAAGGAGAAGGGGTTGTGGGTCCAACCAGGACAAGGAGAAGGAGTTTTGGGTCCAACCAGGACAAGGAGAAGGAGTTCCGGTTCCAACCAAGACAAGGAGAATGGTTTCTGGGTCCAACCAGGACCAGGAAAAGGAGTTCTGAGTCCAACCAGGACAAGGAGAATGAGCTCCGGGTCCAGCCAGGAAAAGAAGGGGTTTTGGGTCCAACAAGGTTAAGGAGCTCCAGGTCCAAGCAGGAGAAGAAGGGATTTTCGATCCAACCAGGAGAAGGATTTCTAGGTCCAAACAGGACAAGGAGAAGGAGCTCCGGGTTCCAACAAGACAAGGAGAAGGTGCTCTGAGTCCAAACAGGACAAGGAGAAAAAGATGTAGGTTCAAACAGGACTAAGAGCAGAAGATGACCTCAAAAAGGACAGGGATAAGGATCTCTGAGTTCAAACAGGACAAGAAGAAGAGGCTCTGGGTCCAAACAGCTCAAGGAGAAGAAGCTCTGGGTCTAGGCAAGAAAAGTAGGAGTCTGGGTCTAAGCAGGGCAAGGAAAGTGAGCTTTGGGTCCAACCACAAGGGCAGGGAGCTGAGCTGTGTGTGTGATGACCACATAAACCCATGAGATAGATAGACAGATAGATAGATAGATAGATAGATAGATAGATAGATAGATAGATAGATAGAGAGCTCAGGAACCAGGACAGGGAACAAGGAGAAAGTAGAAGAGATATGAGGAATGTGACTTACCGGTGGTGTTGGCAGGCATGCTCTCCTTATTGCTTCCGAACTAGAATGCAGAGAGGTGTACTTGTGCTCAGGTAAGCTCGGGTGCATGGCAAAATGAGGCTGCTTGCTGTTCATGGACATCATCTTGAAAGAATTGCATGGAATCCTGGAAGAGTCCTGAAGTGGGAAGAAAAGTGAGCCGGGATGTGGTGTATGGGAAGCAGCTCCTTGTCTCGCTGGCTGCTGTGAAATCTCCTGATGATGACCACACGGTGCGTGTCTCCCCCAGCTTCTCTCACTTATCAGTCTGCTCTATTCTACTACTGGGATGAGAGGCTTTCTTACACCTGAGCCCCCACATCTCGCAGCGCCCAGCCGGCTCCTTGTATCGCGAGACTGCAGGCTTTTCCTGCCTTGACAGACATCAGCTGTCTGTGGGGCTTGTTGCGTTTACTGCTCAATTGGCTGTCTGGGCGGTGCTGGGGACTGGAGGCTGCTCTTATACAGTGACCAGCACACATACCAGAGCGGTGCAGGTGCTGCACCTGACAGCTACCACTAGGCATGCGCTCCCTACACTCCTCCACTGACAGCACTCTGCACACAGCCCAGGGATTGTCCTGTGTGTCTCCGCGGATACTATATATACCTTGGCAGTTCCACACTCCATCATTTTTATACACATGTATATGTAATCAGATCTTAGCATTTTACACCCAGGCTATTCTTGGCTTTCATGGCTAATATATATATATTTTTTTTTTAAATATTTTTTTCTATACCCAGACAACTGTTCTCTGTACACATACATCCCTCCACTGCATGGTCACAGTATCAGTGTGTCAGGGTGGTATTGTGCTGTGTGTGTCCCAAGTTTTCTCCTTCTGTCTAGCTTCCCTTTTCTAGTAGATTATGTAGCTACTGACAACTGTAACACACTCTCTCTCCATCATTATTGTTAGGATTTATTCCATTTATCATTCATCGTATTTATCATTGTATCATCTATATCTATATATGAATTCCAGACAATTAGTCTCTCTCTCTCTCTCTCTCTCTCTAGAGAGAGAACAGCAGAGAGAGGAGGAGGGAGAGAGAGGAGGAGGGATAGAGAGCACGAGAGAGGAGGAGAGAGAGAGAGAGGAGAGAGGAGGAGGAAGGAGAGAGAGAGGAGAGAGGAGGAGGAAGGAGAGAGAGCACAATATATATAGAGAGAAAGAAAGAGAGAACGATATATATATATAGAGAGAGAGAGAGAGAGAGAGAGAGGGATAGAGAGAGGAGGGAGAGAGGAGGAGGAAGGAGAGAGAGAGCACAATATATATATATATATAGAGAGAGAAAGAGAGAACGATATATATATATATAGAGAGAGAGAGAGAGGGATAGAGAGAGGAGGGAGAGAGGAGGAGGAAGGAGAGAGAGAGCACAATATATATATATATATATATAGAGAGAGAGAAAGAGAGAACGATATATACATAGATAGAAAGATAGAGAGGAGGGGGAGAGGAGGAGGAAGGAGAGAGAGCACTAGAGAGAGAGCACTAGAGAGAGAGAGAGAGAGAGAGAGGAGAGAGAGAGAGAGCACAATATATATAGAGAGAGAAAGAAAGAGAGAACGATATATATATAGAGAGGGAGAGAGAGAGAGAGAGAGAGGAGAGAGAGCAGAGAGAGAACACAATATATATAGAGAGAGAGAGAGAAAGAGGAGGAGGGAGAGAGAGAGTGATAAATGCATAAATAAACATTTTCCTATGTAAATAATTGGAATAAATACTAAGATCTCTCTCTCTCTAAATTGTCTGGAATAAATGCTAAGATGAGAGAGAGACACCAATGCATGAATAATGTTCTCTCTCTATATATAAATAATTGCCTAGAATAAATGCTAAGATTATATATCAATAAAGCATGGATAATTATCGCATCTCTCTCTCTCTCATCCATCGATCACCCTCTCCACACAGGACACGTTGCCATCGTCCAGCATTGAAGTGGTTAATCCCAGACATGCAGGCAATGCTACTTTGCATCCTCTCCTGGCACATTCTATTGCTCATCTCTGTTCATGTCCATTTACTTTGCACACCGCTAATCATATCTGGAATGACAATCTCAATTACCATTTCAGTGAATTATCTCCTGAAGGAGTGACCCAGGAAATAAAAAAAACAAGTCGTCCTAGAATGTATATTTGCTGGCACAGTCCCTGAGATGGAGGAGGCAGCAGGCAGCATCCTAGAACTGACCCCACTGTCCCAGCTAGGCATAGTGATCGGCACAGCGATCCTCGTGCACTTTGTATGAGCTCCTGTCCATAGGACGTGCAGTCAGGGTACCAGTCACTACAGCTTCCATAGGGAGGCTTCCTAGGATCTCTAAATCACCCAGAAAAGCCTAAATCTAGTGATCTCCTGACTACATCACACAGCAGCACCTTACCTCTTGTCACTAGCTCTTAGAATTCTATCTATTCCCCGACTTTAATGCTGAAGTTTCTAAAACATAGCTGTGTACACATCATCTTCATTATTTAGCTGCATTTTGATGAAAATCGACCTGCCAAAGTAATTGGCATTTGAAAGGTAAGGGTCTTCCACTCGTGCAAGCTGACACTAAGCCACAGAAAACAGTAATTTCAAAGAGAATAAGAAATAGATGGAAGTCAGTGGTAACTGATTTGTCTACTGGGAGATGGATTAGGAGACATACTTGCTCTGCAAGGCCTCATTTTGAAGGGAAACTCTGTAATGCAGAATAATCCGCCTTGCACTGTGCAGAAGAGCACCCCTCCTGGATCATCTAATTACCATGCAAAGATGCACAACAAACACCAAATAAATTGCATTTATAGCACGTTCCTGAGCACTAATTACTTTGGAGGCATCTTTTTGGCCCATCAAGAATGAAATCACTGCACTTTTCTACCACCAGCTTGGTGTATTAAAGCTTCTTTATATTAGCTCCAAAGATTGACATATCCACCCTATGCACAGTGCAGGGAGAGTTTATGATAAATAAATGGAAAGTCTCAAGCTCCAGAATAAAGAGATCAGAGCTGTCCTACATGTGGATGTGCAGAAAGTATTTCCATGTCAGTGGATCGGGCCTTTCCTGACATCAGCACACTTGCTAATTACTTAAGTACAAGCTGCAATTATTTCCTTTGCTGCCAAAGTGTAGAATGTTGTCGAATTAAAAATTGAAAGGTTGGAATGTCGTGTGGGTCCCTGGGAACTTCACTGATGGAATGAGACAGCTGATTGACTTCTAACTCTGCTCCCTTTAGATCACTCTCATGTACTAAACAATAAAACAACTTTTTTTTTTCCCTGCCCGCTCAGCTCCAAACAACCAATCAGGTTAGCAGATTTTCTTCTGAAGCCCTGCAGAATGGTGATCTTAGTAGTAGGGATTGGTGGAGTGATTGCGGGA